TACTTCAGCCTTAGTATCCATAGCAACTAGATACCTGTTGGCTAATTTTAAAGTTCATAACATAATTTATCATAAAATACAAAATCAATAAAATGTTATTATTATTATGGAAGCCAAAGCCAACTTGATGGATTGCCAACAAAAATTGCTGACATCCAGACCAGATCAAAAAATGAATAAAATAAAATAAAACTAAAAAATGCTAAGTAAAAGAGGAAGGAGCACTAACAGAAAAAATGCCAGATGAACAAGGACACAAAAAATGAAAGGAACATGAATATTATTTAAAATTAACTAAAAAAGTCATTCCAAAAAAATAAATAAGGTTACTCTTAATAAATGGAAAAGATTTATCTAAATCAATATAAGGTAATTTATTCTAAAGTCAGACACGTCTAGAAAAATAAGAATGACAGAAACGATTAGAGGAGGACAGTGGGAAAAATTGATTATCTACCACAATTGTGGTAAATCTGGGTAAATTGTTAAATGAACAGAAGTGGCGGACCAAGTATGCTGCCCTGAGGCACCCCAGAACAAACTGGAAGCCAGTTAGATGTATGACCCCTCACTCTCACACACTGTTGTATATCAGATAAATAGGAGCGAAACAGCCTAACCACAATGATCCAGTTATACCGGCATCCCAAAAAATATATTTGGCAGCATAATTAAAATCAAAAATTAATGATGAATTGGAGCCTGAAGGTTAAACCATAACTGAAAATTAGGCCAACTAATCAACTGACAACTGTCAAATATACACAGCTCAAATCAATATTAGTGACTGAATAATTCTACACAATATTGCTCTAGTTTATTAACTAACTCTACTACTCCTTTATCAACTGGTAACTGCAGTTGACTGGATAATCCTTCAGCTAACCATCTCTTTAGATCAGACTCCATTATTAATCTACTAGCCACACCTACTACTCGGATTATATACTACGCAATAGAGGATATGCGTGCTAAGTATATTCATTGCAAAATAAATGTATTCATTGTATACCGTAATAACTTTCAAGAAAAAAAATTAGTTCGTTGGACGTCAACTTTCCATTGGCAGCAATGGAGAAATGATAGAAAAAGGCTTGGTACCAGGAAACCGCTCTGTATTTCTTGATAGCAATCTTTCAGGTGACTACTAGACCCCATTAGATCCTCAGGATACTTTCTAAGCTTCCGAAAAAGGCCTCAAGAAGGTAGCAAAGCAAGAAAATGTGTTTTCCCCCATTGAACTCTAAAGCCTGGTTCACAATATGACGCTAGGCCAACGTACCGTCAATTTTTAATCAAAAGTGTGGGCGATTTGACCTTTTGACGCATGCTTTCCGCTGGAATCGATCCAGATTCGATTCCAGCGTCAACATAACGTCAGGACTAGCGTAATATTGTGAACCAGCCCTTAATAAACTTGACGTCCAACATGGCGGCCAATTTACTGTGTGGGTTAGATATACGGTACCAAAAAGCTATGAATATACTTAGCACGCATATCCTCTATACATGACTGTGTTCATTCATAGATCTATGGTTCATTGATTCCCTCTCCAAAAGGTTATTCAGGACAAATCTGCTGCTATGATTTGTTTAATGTAGATTATGTTTAATGAAATTTTGATGAATGATACATGGTGTGATCTGGCTCTGCCATGAAAGGTTAGAGTTATACCATGATTAGAAGTAGATGTGGTCAGTGTTTCTCTATCTCTCTCACTTTCCCTAGCTATTTCTCTCCCATGCAGGCCCATTTATGTTATAC